TGTGTGTGTGTGTGTGTGTGTGTGTGTGTGTGTGTGTGTGTGTGTGTGTGTGAAACAGTCTGTTTGGCTAGAGAGCAGCATTCCACAGCAGCCAGCGTCTGACGTCAAACTGAGGACATTTATAGTCTGGTAAACACAGAGACACACACACAGCATACAGTCTGACAAAGGGGCAAGACTCTGGTCCATCATGTCTCTGACTGACTGCGCAGTAAAAAGAGTTGAAGACAGACGGCTGATTATTCCTCGCTAATATACACTGAACATCAGCAGGAGAGGACTCTTTAAAGTAGAGACACTACATACTGATATACACCTGAACATCAGCAGGAGAGGACTCTTTAAAGTAGAGACACTACATACTGATATACACCTGAACATCAGCAGGAGAGGACTCTTTAAAGTAGAGACACTACATACTGATATACACCTGAACATCAGCAGGAGAGGACTCTTTAAAGTAGAGACACTACATACTGATAAACAGCTGAACATCAGCAGGAGAGGACTCTTTAAAGTAGAGACACTACATACTGATATACACCTGAACATCAGCAGGAGTTATTTAGAGGGGATTTTATTGTTATTTATTTGTTTATGTAGGCCTGCGCATGAGTGCATTTATTTATTATTATTTTGAATGTTTTATTTTCCTAGATTTTCTTAGTTTTGGTGGAAGTTAAATATCTTCATAAGAAGCTACATTTAATTTTAAATAAATAAAAATAATAATTGTATTTGTGACGTCTCACCTGCTGATAGAGCTCCTTGTCACTTTTTATAAATTGGACTAACAAATGAAAATTAAATTATTATAAATGACCTTTCAGAGACTAGTTGTCTTTATTTGTTGTGCGATGTGCTGTATGGATGTGAGTATTTTCATTATTGGATTTTTTATTCTTGTTTATTGTTTTTAATTATATTATATTTGTGTTTGTATTATTGTAGTTAATTAGTTTAATTATTTTAATATTTTATTTATTTATTTTGTATAATTTTGATTATTATTTAGAGTATGTAAATGTATTATTATAGTTTCAATATGTTGTCCTTCTTTTTAGAATGATTAATATATTTGTATTATTGTAGTTAATTTGTTTAATGTATTTTATATTATTATTATGGTTGCTCCTGCAGTGCCTCAGTCTGTCCGCCAGGGGGCAGCAGAGAGCAACATATGAATGAATGACGCACTTTGTTTCATTGGAAACACAAAGCTGCTTTTATTCACTTTATTTCTAGACAAAAAACTCATTAAACATGTGGAAAATCTGCAGGGCAGTTCTGTACAGAGAGAACAGGAATAATAACGCACTCAAATATACAAAAAACACAGTCAGGAGTTTAAATTGTCTATTTATGGGTCAAGAATGTCATTACATAAGGTCTCTTTTGCATATTTTCAACATAAGACGTAACGTTTTTTCCATTTCTTTAAAAAAAACTAATTAATTTAGCTATTTCTTGGATTAAAATGAGTTTTCCCAGTGGGAATAGTGAATGTAAAAGCAGGTTAACTCCCTGTTGGTGATTAAACAGTGAGCTATGCAGCACAGCTGAGGAATGAGCAGAATTTAGAAATGAAATCTGATATTTTGTGTTTTTAAAGGTGCAGTACTGAGAGCGGCCGGCAGGGGGCAGCATGGTCCCTCTGACTCACCGTTAGAGCAACATCTGTGCGGAGGAATTACAATAAAACACGTTTAAAATATGAAAATTAATTAAATTACGTAAAATACAGTCAACATTACATATATAAGAAACATATAAATACAAATGTAAGTTCAATTACTTAATTAAGAATAAAAATACAGAACTTTTCCCCCCCAAATAAATTAAAATACATGAAGAATATACAATTTAAAGTTCATATAATAAAGGATTTCATCTAAAATAATAATACAAAAATAAACACTAATGTTGAAAGATAAGAATAAATAAAAGCACATATTCATATTTTAAATATATTAAAAATAAAGTGAGTGTCATCTATTATAATATAACACGTAAAAAAGTGTGGTTCATTATAATGGGAATAAGAAAAGTCATACAAAAATTATTTAAATATCGGTCAAATAAAGTGCTTTCCTCTCTCTCTCTCTCTCTCTCTCTCTCTCTCTCTCTCTCTCTCTCTCCTCCCTCTCCCCCTCTCTCTCTCTCTCTCTCTCTCTCTCTCTCTCTCTCTCTCTCTCTCTCTCTCTCTCTCTCCCCTGTGACGTCAGAGGCTGCTCGGTAAACGGAGTCAGTCTCCGGTCTGAGACACGGAGGAGAAACCGGAGAGAAATACCGGAGCCTGTCTGTCTGTTTCTCTGCAGACAGGAAACTACAGAGGAACTACAACAGGAGAAGAAGAACGAGGAGTGGAGTTTAACAGCAGAGAAACTACAGAAAGAGAAGAAACAGAAGAAGAATAAGAAGTTAAAGAAACAGCAGGAGAAGAATCAGAGAAACCGCAGCGGAGAAAAAGAAGTGGAAGGAACTACAGAATAAGGAGAACAGAGAGGAACTACACCAAGAGAAGAAGAAGTGGAGGAGAGACAGAGGAGGAGAAGAAGAAGTGGACAGACAGAGACATAGAGGAACTACAGGAGGAGGAGAAGAAGAAGAGTGGAGGACAGACAGAGGGACAGAGGAACTACAGAAGCAGAAGAAGTGGAGTTTCTGTAGTTTCTCTCCAAGATGGAGCGCGCACTAACTTTGCTCCTCGCGCTGATTTCCCTGAGCGGACTAACGGGCGCGCGGGCAGACACCTTCAAAGGTAAGATAGTAAAGAGAGTGGGGGAGAAAGAGAGAGAGAAGGGGGGAGAAAACATGGGAGAGTTTCAGTTTCCAAGTTTCCATCCGGAAAATCTCCTCCCTTTCTCCATCTCGATTCTTTTTCCGCTGACCTCAGTATAAAACACTTTGAAATGTTTTAAACAGAAGCTGAGAGGAAAGAGAAAATAGTTGATGGATTAATAATAAAATATAAAAATACATACATTATTATGCACTTACTGTAAATAAATTAATGCATTCATAAATACTGGAAATAAATCAAATGATTAAATAGTACTGCAAATAAATGCGTCTGAGGGAAATCAATACAGAAATACCAACATTTAATTGACAATAACTCCTGTAGAGAAATGCCTATAACTGTTTTTAAATATACAAATAAATACAAAAAAATAGACAATCCGATAAATACTGATAATGAAAAAACTGAAATTGAAAAGTCCTGCAAATAAATAAAGACTAAAATGAATGAAGACTGACAATAAGGACTGCAAAGAAATACATATATTGCAACCAGCAGTGTGTGTGTGTGTGTGTGTGTGTGTGTGTGTGTGTGTGTGTGTGTGTGTGTGTGTGTGTGTGTGTGTGTGTGTGTGTGTGTGTGTGTGTGTGTGTGTGTCAGAGCTGCAGTATAACCCTATAACCAGTATATATCATAGTGGAGTTTTGCGTCTCTGCATCGTTTCCAGTGATAATTGTAAAAATAAATGATAATATTCACTTTATCTCGTGATTACAACGTACCATTTAAATTGCATTTTGTTCAGAGTGTTTCTAAAGTAAAACCCAGATTCCTCCATAATTATTGACCGTTAATTGAGTTCCTGCAGCTGTGTGACAGCGGCTCGCGCTGAGAGAAGCACTCTGCAGATCACAGATGATTTTCAAATGTTCTCTGATTTTAGAACAACAGCAGCACCCTCTAAATATCTCTCTGATGATTCGATAACGCACTCTTTAAAAGCTGCTCTTCACATCATACGTGAATATATTCAGACACCTCGCGTTGGACGCAGAGACACTGGGATGCACGTTTTCTAATATTATGATCATTTCTTGAGGCATTTATCCAGAGAGTGACCTGTGCACATCAGACAGCTTGTGTTTCTGCTAAAAGACGTCCTGCAGCTGTTCTTCACGTGCATGGATGTGTTGATGAATGCATGATAGAAGAGGTGGTTAACATTTAAAGGCAGACCTGCAGCCTCTTCTACTTCACGATATGATTCATAGATAGGAAAAACTGACATTGCAATCTTCTTTTTAAATGTGGAGAGGAGATGAGGTTTTCCCGTGTCCTACTCTCTGCTGTTTCAATCAGGGAGTTCAGATCAGTGACCACACGTCGCTTAGAGGGGGCATTCAGTCCTGCAGATCTACCAAATATAATAGATGTAGTCAACCATAGTTATTTAGGAATGTAAGACATTTAGTAATCAAGACAAACTCTAAATTCCTCTATGAAGACTCAATGCCACGGTAACACCCCTAAACCTCTTTAAATAGTGTCAGCATTCTGGTTTCAAAATGACCTCTTTAAAACACCTGGATTTATCCAAATGTCCCACTGGATTTGAACGCATCACGACAACGTTGTAATTTAGCTTCAACCAATACAGATTTTTACAAAAAAAGAGCCTGAACGCATCATGATGTGTACTTTAAAGAGTCCTCTCCAGGTGTATATCAGTATGTAGTGTCTCTACTTTAAAGAGTCCTCTCCTGCTGATGTTCAGGTGTATATCAGTATGTAGTGTCTCTACTTTAAAGAGTCCTCTCCTGCTGATGTTCAGGTGTATATCAGTATGTAGTGTCTCTACTTTAAAGAGTCCTCTCCGTAGTGATGTCACCATGTTCCGGATGTAAACAATACATTTTATTTCTCTGCTTCCTCTGCAGGTGCGTTACCGGGGGCAACAGCTGACTGAGGATGTGTTTTTAAGAGTGGGAGGGGCTACCTGGCCCTGAGTGACGGAGGAGGCGGAGTCTCAGCTCACAGACACAAAGGGGC